AAAAACAACAACAAAACAAATACAGTATAAATTATTTGGTGATTATTATTCATGAGATTTACTTTAATACCAGTGGATAGTCTGTCTCTCGGCTTAAACTAACATTTTTTAAAAAAGATAAACAATAAATAAATGTTTATTTCCTGTCAAAAAATTAGTTAACTTTAAATTCAAAACTTTTATTTTGTCTGAATTATAGATTTATTTATTGTTTTTTAAAAATTACATAATCTTTATTACACTCTTATTTGTTAGGCATAAACGGATTTACATTAAATTTTACTTTAATTTATTTTTATTTTGTAAGACTATTGAGAAAATGATTGATAAAAATAAGTTTCGAGCGAAACATTAAAATAAAAAGAAAAACAAAATCCAATACAAAGTAAATGGAAAATACAAAACGACTGGAAAAAGATTTCAAATGATTACTTTCTCAATGAATATTAATATACATTGAGTTATGATTTATCCTTGAATTAGATTATTATTTAGGAAAATTTCTCTCTCTCTCTCTCTCTCTCTCTCTGCCATTAGATTTTATGGCATAGCTTAGATTTTTAGGGAGAACTGAAATATATAAGTTATGCAATTTTTCACTTCAAACAAGAATACAGTCGAATCGCAGTTTTATATACAATACCGTAATTTGCAAACATTTTATGCGCAAAACAAATACATTTTTATGAATGTATTGCTAATTGATATGCGTTTTATGAATTAGTTTATTAAATTGATATATTTATTCATATCCTGTGTTATTATACAACAAGTGAAAAGCATTTGATTAATGATTTTGTTTCTCTAACAAGAAATTTATTTTGCAGTCAACTTTTTGAGGAAGTTTTCTGCTTTATATTTATACACATAAAAAACTAATACAAAACGATATACAATACAAGCATTTCACTGTATTTAATGGCCAAATGGATTCTGTGTATTGAGAAAAAAAACTCATACACTTGTATATCAACTAATGGTCCGCAAACCTCTTCGACAAATACCCAATACATGACACAAACAATAAGTTAACAAAACGATATTCTCAAAAAGTTTTTTGTTGAGGTTTGGGCTTTGAGTCGTTCGTCTCCCTGTGCTCTCATCCCATTCCCCCCTCTATTCTGGTGTTCATAACATTCACGTAAACGTTATATACTGTATGGTTAATGAGTGCAAAACTCATACCAAAGCGCCCTTACATTTCTTCCTCTAAAAGCATACACTTATATAATAATATTCTTCAGTATATATAACACAAGTGCACAACGAAAACGACAAATATATCAGTATATCATTTGCTGTTATAATATATATTTTGTTACTTGTATTGCAAATTGTGTACTGACTTTACAATTATCCTCGCATTCGTTCATTTCGTTTACCGTTTAATAAAAATTAAACAAAAAATTATATATTAGTGTTATTACTATTATAACTAGTGTTTGTGTATTCGTATGTTTATTATAATCAGTAATTCAAGGGGACATTGACTGGTGGAGAGAGAGAGAGAGAGAGAGAGAGAGAGAGAGAGAGAGTCAATGAAAACACATAAAATAACATTAATGATAATTCATTTAATATTTAGCAAGTGTTTGCTCGCAATTCATCTGCGCTTTGATGTGAATCCCATTTGAATTCAATTCCGTGTTTTGACTATTTTTTACTAGTCTTATATAATATGTGTGTTCACTACTAATCACTGAATAATAATAATAATAGTTTTTATTATTGTAAATCGTATTATTATTTTGTGTTTTAATTTTTAAAAATAACTTTTTTGTGTATCTGTTATTAATTACAATATTTTTCGTATCAGTTTTTATTTCAAAAGACTGTGTTTTTAATATAATGTGTGTTTTAAAGTTAAAAAACTGATTGTTTAGATCCAAAGGTTTTTTTTTTTACTGATTCTCACATTATATTCATATCTGATATACTGTTATATAAAATATATTTTCATTAAAAATATGATTTCATATTACAAGTGATTCCACATTAATATGAAGGCATAGTATTAAAAGACATTTGATATTAAAAATAAATAATATCTTAATATATCGGCGAAAATGAGATCATATATGGAGACAGATGTGTCTGAAGAGACCACCAATACTACCACTAAATTGATAATAATGTTGAGGACATCGGAGACGACGGCAATCAGAGCCCAAAGTAGAGACAGACATACGTTTGAATACAATGTGATTCATATCATTATATTTAACTTAAATCCCGTCGATTTTTTTATGAGAGGCTTTTGGCGTTCAATACCGGCTATGAATAGCATTATTCTTAACGTATGTATACATTGAGTGAGAGAGTGGTGTACTGTATATGTAGTGAAAGGGAAAGTGTATTTGTGGCCAACTTTCTTGACTTTTATCTTGTATTTGTGTGTTTCATATCAAGCATATCATGAAAATTGACTTTTTTCATTATCATTGCTATTATGACTATTTTCAGCGCAAAATTCTCTGCAATTTGTTTTGATATTTGGTTTTGTGGTTAAGAAAAACTGCTTATTATTCAGAGATTCTTATGATTTCTGTCTTTCCAATGACTAACAAATTTTTCTTACTTATTCGTCGGATAATTACTTTTATTATTAATTTTATTAATACTAATGAAACTTATTTTGTAAAAAATGTTTGATGTCTTAATACATAGATACTTATCAGCAATAAAAATAGCAATTAATTACTTATTTAAATGAATATTCAAATATTGCAAATAAATCCGATTCTTTGACTGAAAAATTTATGCCAAGTAATGACAGATTTCAAGAATTAATTCCTACCAATACTATACACAATGTTTTGTTATTTCAGTGATATTTTATATATTGATATCAATTCAGTACAGCTATTGTTACGATATGTTTCTGTGATATCTTTACTCCTAATTGAAGGTCAAGTTTAACGACTCAAACAGATATTTATTTTTTTGCTAATTCTGTGCCGTATTTCTAACTCATGTAAAACACGAGTTTTTATCGTTATTTTGTTATAAAACTTTCAGTTATTTATGTATTGAAATATTTTTGTTGCGATAAATACAACCCTTTGGCTCCGGAATATCTATTTAAATATGTGTGCATTTAATGCAAAGTTATTTATTATGAATATTGTTAAATATTTTGTATCCAAACGTGAGATGCAATCGCTTTGATATTTAAGACATTTTGATATTTTTTGCAAATATACCGAAACAAGAAACTACTGGCGAAGAAATGAGAGTTTTTGTAAAACAATCATAAATTATCGCTTTATTATTATTATTAATATATGGAAATCAAATCCTAATATTTATTGTCTTTTAGTTTTATTTATTTTTTTCAAAAGTTTTCAAAGAATTCTAGTCTAATATCTATAGAGAATAAAAATATAAACTATATTTAAAACTTATATCTAAATAAATATTCATTGCATTTGATTTTGTTTTTCAGTGCATTTCATGTAACAAAAAACGAAAAGCAAAGTCGAGTCCCAAAAGTCGTGTTCACTATCTGTCGGTCAACTCTCCGTCTCCACAGTTGACGGCCTCGTCGTCCAACTCCTCCACCTCTTCGTCGTCTTCATCGCCGCCGACCAACTCGTCGTCGGTCTCCTCCACGCCATCGCTTCCGATGGCGCCCAACGAGAGCTCAGTAGTGGTAACACATCAGCCGTCGGCTCCCAGTCCTGGACTCGTGCTGTTCAACAGCGAAGAGCAGTCGGATATAGTGTTTCTGGTGGGCGAAGACGAGGCCA